AAAAAAAACACAGTTAACTACGCCAAAGTTGGGGTTCGGGTTTGTGTCCGATTTTTTCAGCTTCTTCTTTGGCAGGCTTGTACTCAATCCTGGAACTAAATTGAATGGAACGAAAACATCAAAAATTTTCCAATTCTCATAGCACTAATCAACCTGGCGATTTAATAATCCACAAGCATTTTACCCTCGTGTAGAAAAAGCAAAATCGAAAACAAACATCCCTCCGACATCCAATGAATATTTTATGAATTTCACAATTTAGGGGCCTGATGGGCTGCCAATAAATTTTAACTGTTCGTTGAAATCCGTCAACCTGAGCGGGCTCATCATTTTTCGCTTTCATTTATTTTCTTTGCAATTAAATTTTTGCCTGCACTGCACTCGATTCACGCACTTCCAAATGGCCACAATCGAACAGAAATGGCAAAAAAATGGAAAAGTGTTCTCTAATGCGATTAGGCAACATTTTTAATACCGTTTTTGCGCGATCGGTCGGGATTAATGAACATAAAAGCTGGATCATCTGGGGGATTAACTAGCTCGTAATTGCGTTTTACTAGTTTCAGTTTTAAAAATCACTTTGGCCTGCGTTTGAAGGATGCATTTTCCAATCGAAAACAGCCACTCAGATTGTCGACTTCCATTTTTCAGTTTCGGGCCTTTGCATACAGAGTGATTGAAATTTCGCTATTCATTTACTTCTGCTTGCGTCAGGAATAAATTATTTTTTTAAACAGCAGATTCAACCAATAGCCGCAAAAGTTTTTTCAGTTATTTCCCATTTTCGCCGTATTTGCGTCTGCCGAAATAATGCAACATCTAAAACTCCAGTTTCGCAATATTGCGAGGTACTTTCAAAGTTCTGAACGACAGGGAATTTGAAAGTCGTGCAAAGTTTCAGTTCGTGCCACTTGGGCCCTGCATGTAAATCATTATTTTTCCAGACAGAGGAACTTTTAAAAATTCAATTGAAGTCGTATCGCACTTGGGAAGTTTACCCTAGAAAAAGTTGGAAAGAGACAAGGAACGCAACGAGCTAATTAAAAGACACCGGGGCCTTTCCAGTT